TCCAGGCTAAAGTCTGGGTTCCTAGGCACTGCCAGTTTGACATAGCTACAGATTAACAATTATCGATGAAAGACTCAACAATAATCATTGCATTGAAGAAAATTAGAAGCATCATTTTATTTGATTTTGCTTCCATTGTTTAAAACATTGCTTTGTCTGAATGTAGAGTCTCTGGATTTTAATTGTACTCAATTCATTTCTCTCTTAAATTTGACATTTTCACAGTATGATATTACCAAGCGATACGTCACTGATGGGCCAACGGCAGATGACTAAGTAACAGCAACAACTAACAAAGCTGCAGTTATGCCTATGCAACTACTTGTTAAGAAAACTATAAGTCCACCAAAAGCACTTAAATAATCAACTTAGGTCAACAATGTTGAAAGCTAGGATTCAAACCTTCTTTGGGGTGAAAATGATTAGATTCCGGTAATTGTTTCACGAATCAAGAAGAGCGGGTACCAAACCATAAATAGATGTCATCAGATATTGTCAAGTTTTGATCTTTCAGTATACCATTTATATTTCTAAGATCAATATATGTCCAATTATATTTAACCAAAGATGATTTGCTGCACTAAAACAAGTTCAAGACTCCTCTAGAAGAGGAAGGAACTAAAATTCGGTATGATAATAATAAAGAACATAAGTGAAGCTCGTATCTACCTTTGATGACATGTGCACCATTTACAGCTGCATCAAATTCATACATTGTGAAAGTGGGTGGGCAGTCAACAATCATGTCACCAGGATCCAATACGCACCTGCAGCAGAGAACAGTTAGATATCCAAACTCTAGGTCAAACAAGGACTAATCTCGACATGCCAAATACTTAAGAGTCAGCATTTAGTTAGACTTTAGATAAAAGGCTAGTCTAATCATAATGCTTACCGCATTATCAAATCAATGAGTTCATCTGCACCGCACCCTGCAAGAATATACTCAGATTCAAGGCCAGAATCTTCAGCAAGGGCAGCACGCAAGGTACGGCTTTCAGGATCAGGATAAATATATGGAAATTTCATAGCGCCCAAAGCCTCGATTACCTGCAAGAAATTCAACAGCTCAATATTGAGAAGGCGAAAAATAACTACACAAAATGGAATGTCCCAAAAGATTATTTTTTTTAATTAAACAGTGGGCATTGCAAAAGATACTAACTTGCCTCTGGAGGAGGGCCATATGGATTCTCGTTAGCATCTAATTTCACAATGTCCTCCGGCTTTCTACCAAGACGAGTGGATAACACCTGTACAATTGCAAGCAATTTTTTTAGATGCCACAAGAAAATAAAGAAAACATCACATCTAACAAATTATTACCAATCATGTGGTGGTTATTAACTCAATATATCCCAGATAAATGAGAAAGAAAACAACAAGTAGATCAGATTTTTATCACAGCACCTTTTCTTTATATAACAGACACATGATTCGATCCTTAAAGTGAAACCATTTTTTTTCAAGAGAGAGAGAGAGAGAGCTAGCTTTACATGTCATGTCTACCAAACAAAGGAGAAAAAAGAAATGAAAATTATTAAGAAAAAATTATAAAAAGTACTTCTTGATAGCCTTTTGGCCTATCTAGTTAAGTAAAGAAAAAAGTATCAACACTAGTTCACATACAAAATAGAAACATGACATAATTAATTCCTCTGTGCCTCATGATTCAAGACTCAAAGGGTCTTTACTTATATATAATGTTTTAGTGCCCACTGGTGCTTTATATTATAAAATTGAGCTTACTTCTCAGAAAATCATTCAAGACCCAAAGGATGATTACTGGAAAAAATTGTGCCAAGAAAATACATTTTTCATTAGGCAAACTTTATTACTGCAAATATCACACATTTTGATAACAAACAGTTAGCAGCACAACTTGAAATCATAAAACCTGCTAAGCTGATAAGCCAACAAGTACCTACTAAATAGTGGAGAACATCTGATGTCCCTAAAGCTAAATGTAACAGAAATAGATAGACAAGATAGTCAATGACAAAGATCAGACGCCGGGCGGAAGCTG